CTAAAGTAATTCCCGATCTGAACTGGTAGCCATGCAAACATCCAACCCCCCTCTTCTCATCGCTCTTAAAGCTCAAAGACAAGGCCATGGGAGCTTGAAGCAACTGGGAACCAGTAGGCTTCCTTCTATCACCAATACCATCACCAGGAATCAGACAAGATCATTTTCCAGGTTTTAAAAGTACATTACACTGGCAGAGAATCAGATCATTAAAAGGCTGATATTGCCCCAAAATGTTCTTTTTTGTTCAACTACACTTTTGGAGGTCTCCAAATCCATTTTCACTAACTAGCAAAAAACAGTAGGTTTTAATCTGGGCCACAAATAAGCCTGGAGGGGGGTAGCTCAAAAGTGGAGGTGCTGCAGGGAGGGCCCCCCCTGATTCCTGCTTAAAAGCCCCATTTCTCTCATCAGCTGCTCCCTATAGCCCAAATGCCCAGTCAGCCCCAACTGAGCACCTGATACCCTACTCCCAGGCTTAGCTCTGCTCCACTGAATATTTTGTCATGGGCATTTCCCCCATAAAATCTTCAATGGAAACATTTTCAATGGCTGAATTCTATATTAAGAGTCCACTGTATGGCCCTGTCATAATTTAGCCATTCCCACATTCCCAACTCATAGGATGTCTGACTTATTTCTCAGCCAAATAAGGATGAATTGAAGCTGCCTCTGAGACAGCCATGCAGTAGTTGGACCCCAGGTCTTTCCAGAGAGGAAGCTCTTGGATGTGGAACAGGAAAGCACAGCCAAGCAGACCAAATGCACTTCTCCCACCAGCCTCAGTGAGCAAGAGAAGAGAGGCACCATTTCCTGCAGAGGCCAGGGATAGGGGAGCTTCTGGCTGACTCCCCATCCTCATATCTCATTGCTGGGATTCAGGGTGGGTAAGGTGGGCCAGGCCTGGCCACTGCTGACCAACTCTCTAGCTGTTCTTCTGGGCCATGGCTCTCAACTAGGGGCAATTTTGCCCTCTGGAGACTGGTCAATGGCTGGAGTTTGAATTGTCACCAATGAGGGGGAAGTTGCTACTGGCATCTGATGGGCAGAGGGCTAGAACACTGCTAAATATCCTACACTGTACAGAGATCTTAAACAAAGAATTCTCCAACTTGAACTGTCAACACTTCCAAGGCTGAGACCCTGCTCTGGGGCAAAGCCAGGACCCCACCAGGAATCTGTAGGGCTGAGGGTGGAGGGGTTAACTGCCCAGCCCAAGGCAAGGGAGAAGGCTGGACAGTTTAGGAACCAAAGACAACCTCATGACACTGAGCTCTATTCTTACACCACCCGGAATCTCTAACTTCAGAGCCAAGTCACAGGTTGAGTTGTGTTAGCTTTGTCCGGTGTCTCTGAGGGTGACCCTGAGGAATGTTGCCTTCCAAAAGGACCCATGCAAAACTCCTCTTCCTCACCGGCCAGATCTGCTCCCAACACCTCCCATAGGCCTCATTATGCTCCTGGATGGACCCTACATCTTCTCGTGTGGATTCTGCTCCCATGGCATCTCTCAGAACCATTATCCCCTTTATTATCTCCACTCTCTTCCTGCTCCAGAACATCTTGCCTGTAGCTGTAAAGTGCCAGGCCAGTCGGACCACACCCTTCCTACCACACCATCCGTAGCACCTTCTGTCACTAAAGAAAAAAAACAAACCTCTGAACCTTAAGGCTGGCATCCAAAGCCCTCTACAATTGGTTCCCATCATGCCTTTCAAACCATCCCTCCACTCTGGCCAGACTGGGTTGTTTGCTTACCACCTTGTTCCTGCTCAGCAGCTGCCACTCCTCAGTTCCCTCACCCACCTCTAGCTACAACTCTTCCCTAAGTTGTAGCCCTCTTCTCTCCAAGCCTCCCCTAAGAGGGCCACTGCTTCAGGCCTGCCTCTGCCATGTTCAGTCACCTGAGCTGCTGCCTTGGTCCACTGCCCAGCCATGAGCTCTACATTAGGAGTAGAAACGGTCTCGCTCACTGCCTGGCTCTGCTGACACCTAGTACACAGTTTTACTGTAAACAGCAGCACGTGTGCTTTGACAAACCCCACTAAATGTGTCTCATTAACACCCACTTTCAACTTTAAGGCTAGAAATGGAGACGGTTTCTACAACCTCAAAATCCTGCAGCTCAAAATAATGGGACTCCAGGAAAACCCACCCTTCCAGCCCATCTGACTACCCAAATGGGGTGGGATAAGGCACAAGCTGACAGCAGATTCCCACGCTGTGTGCTCAGAGGGCCATTTCTGATACCCAGGACACCCTTTTCACATGATTCGAACCTGAGCGATTCCCAGATGCATGTGCCAGAGCTGAGCAGGTAACTTGTCCTTGACACGTATTACGAAGGGAGTCAGACATGGTACTAAGATGCAAAATGGCTTAAGATCCAAGAGCCTGCTAGTATCTTTGGCACATTCACCCTGAGAAATTGCAACCATCTGGATTTGTGCCAGGAAATAGGAAGAAGACTGAAAAAGGCAGTTGAAGACTTCCAATTCTCTAAGTTCTTGTCTTGTAACCAAAGGCAGAGTTCTCTGGGTTATGAAGGACTGCCCAAGGTGGAAAGCTACCCCCAGAATACTGGGGCATCTGCCTAGGATGTTGTCTTTAACCCCTTCCCTAGAAGGAGGATTAGAAGTGTGGCTTCTTTTCCTCACACACTGCTGGAGGGAAGAGAGTTCCCAGGGGTAATGCTGCAGAGTTAGCCAAAATGACAAAGATCCACATTCATTAACCCAGTGTATTCTAGGAGGGTTTTTTCCTTATAGGTTCAATCATAAAAAATGGCCAATGATAGTCAATGCAGCATTGCTTGTAAAAGCCAACTAGTAGAAACAACCTAACTGCGTCTCAGTAGGGATTAGGTAGTAAATTATAGGTCATCTGTGCAATGGGAAGAAAAGAGTGAGACCACTTTATGCACCAGTATGGAACAGTCTCTAAGATGGATCGTCCAGGGGAATGGGTTCAGCTCAGAAGAATGTGTGGAGCCCATCACCGTCAGGGAGCTTGCAATGGCCTAGGCAAGGATGACGCGGCTTGAATATCCCATCTCTAAAAGTGGCCATGAGAAGCCAGGACCATGGGTTGCCTCAGGCAGGAGGCTGGGCAGAAGCGACTCAGGAGGGAGCTAGCTTCCCTGCTGTGCCCTTTGGTACATTGTCACTGTGCTTGGTGTGAACATGTGACCCACTGAAAATGAATTGGAAGCTTTCAGGATCAACAGCCAGGATGACTGCCTGTTCTCTTTTCTCTTGTTTCTCCTAAACTTTCTGTCACTCCCTCATCAGCATGTGAAAGAGGTGGTGACTGGAGCTGGGCTGTGTTGTGTGTGCACCACCCCCTGCAGCAAGCATGGCTCTGAATGGCTCCCCTGGCAGAGCTGCTGGGAGGATTAAAGCAGTTCATCAATGGGAAGGGTACCCAGACCAGTGCCCAGCACATAGCAGGGCTCTCCAAGCTGTGACCAAGGGAGGCCTGCTCTGTGACAGGGATGTTCCTTTGATTTCAATGGTGTGGTCTCCAGTCGGCTGGGAACTGCAGGTGCACTGGACACCCTGAGGGGGCAGTTTGTTCCCTGTGGGCATAAGAAAAAGGGGCTGGAAGCTGAGCCCTTTCTATGTGGTACTATTGCTTCCCTTCAGAGCTCTGGTCCCAGGAGGATGAGAGGAGAACAGATCCCCAGGACAGATGTCAGCAAATCAATAACATGCTTCTGAGCTGGCTGCACTGTCCTGCAAACCCGATATGCAAGATATCCTTCGCAGTGGCTTTAGAAATGCTGGTGACACAGCAGAGACACTTCAAAGGATGCACTTGGGCAAGAGGAAAACACCTGTAAATGCTTTTGTTTCCCCTTCACTCTCAGAGGGAAGCAACTCCAGAGTAGAGGAACTCAAGAATCAGGAAGCTGGAAGAGGGAGGCCCCCAGTGCAGGGGGTGGGGACAGAGGATGCACATCACAATCTCACTTGCCCTCCTCAGTCCCACCCTGTACCCTTTGAACCACCAGCAGACCGTGCAGTTAGCTGAGGAAAGTCCAGCCCATCAGTACTGACTGCTTGAGCTCTCTGCCTAGTTTCCTCACCTGCCAAAGGTAATCATAGCACCTTTATCCTATAGGGGAAGATTAAATAAGTCACTATGTACAAAGTGCTTGGAATAGTACCTTGCATGGAATCCAAGATCAATAAATGTTGGAAAAAAAAATAAATGTTGGTATCTCCACAGACTGGGCCCTCCTCCCTCCGTAGCCCTGCCTTATTATGCTGTCAAGGACCATGGCACCGCCAGGCAGCTGCGCACTAGCACATCTGCACACCCAGCCCACTACCACGTAGGCCACTTGTAGAGTCATGGCATCCAGCCCAATATAGAGACCAATGACCCTGGTCCAAGGCCTCAGTACTCTCTGGATATGCAGAGAGTCTCAGCAACTCACTCCACACACTGAAGTCCCGCTTTTTGCAATCCCCCACCTGCCCTTGGCCAACCTCTTTCCCAGAACAAGCATGCTTTGCAGGGACAGTGGCTTTTGGTGTCCACCCCAGACCTTGCAGAGTTACACCCCCCTTCTCGATCCAGGCTGAGCCAAAGGAGCAGGTGTGATGATGGTCTCTGTAGCCAGATTCATGGCCCAAAGTGGTGACAACAGAATATCCATCAGCTATCCCTTTTTTGCATCTAAACCAAGTCAATTTAGCACCTGACACCCATGCCAAGAGTTCACACATCTAGAGAGGCACATTCCTTTTAGTTTCACAAACTTCTGGCAATTCCCCATCCAGCCTTGAATTGTAGATATTGTCTACAAGTTCCCTGCATCCTCTGTGGCTCAAGGATTGGCTTTTCCCCTCCCATACACAACTACTCAGCTCCCACCCAGGCTGCCAGAGAGGATGTGTGCAGCCCAGTGTGGGCACCTACCCTGCTCTGGGGGCTACAATATACACGCACTGGCTGTAATATTAAAATGGTTGCAATATTATAATGGTTCTTACTTTCTGGGAACAAAATCCTGAGCATGTCTCCACAGTCACGTTGGCCTGCATTACGGCAGTGGAGAAGGTGTGCGTGACGTTCTCTGGCAGTTGGAAACACCCGCGGTAAGTGGCTGTCCGCCCTGTGGGAAAGGAAATAGGTTTTTGGTGAGAAATGGTGTCTGTAGTTGCTGGTGCCTGTCACAAGGGAAAACACTGGCTTTGGATCCTGAGTCAGGTGTAAATACACACAGGGTGGGGGTGCAGCAGAGCGCAAATCAAGGAGGACAGACTGGGCGCAGTCAAGCCTTGCTCTGGAGAGGAGCCAGGCTTCAGGATTACGTCACCCAGGGGTCACCAACAATGGATAGTGGCTGAAACTGCTGTGCTTAAGGTTCATTTCTCCTGTCAGTTCTCTGGAGATGGTATCTGTCTGTCTTTCTTTTCTTCCACAAATGTATATTGTCCATTTACTATATGCCAGATTCCACAGTAGGCAACCTGAGAGGTTGATATCCTGGAAAACGCTAAGTTCTCTGAGAAGATGCATGAAGAAAGAATCTGAAATCCTGCCCATTCTTCCCTGTTGTGCTGCTGGAGTCGAACCTCCCCTTTACTTCTTAGCAAGGTTGGCCTCTCTTTGATCTTAACTCCCATCTGGATTCTAGGAATATTCCTTAAACCTGTATCACAAAGGAAGCTTCCTGCCAAGTCATTCTTCAGACCTTCTGGTAGAAGAGCCCAGCTCCCTTGATGCTGAGCAAATCTTCTGGAATATTCTAGTACCAACTGCTCAAATTTCTTCCAGATTCATTGGAGTTTCTTTATCGGAGACATGCTGATTTTCACTCCCATGCTCCTTTATGCATAAGGTCTCCTAGGGCCTAGCATCTCTTCCCCGCTCTCTCCACCTGCCACACCTTCTGGCCATCAGAAGAAATGCTTATCAGCCTAAGCCATGGCAGGAGGACACTGTCCATGCAAAACTGGCAAAGCAGGGCCAAACTCTGGCTCTGGAAGCTCATCCTGATTGGCCACAGCACCAGCTGTCTGGGAGTCAGGGCACAGGCTTAGCAGGAAAGTAGCCTTGGCAGACTAAACAGTTGGGCTTAGGGTTCTCAGAGCCTGGGGTCAGATACTGCCACTACCTGCAGATAGCTGTGCAACTCTGGTGCGTGCAGACTTGGAGACTCTGTTGCTTCACCTATATATTGCCAAGCTCTGAGAATTGTGGGAGCACAATGCACTCACATGTCAGCTCCTCAACTCACTACCCCATGCTTGCCATTGATGTGATGGGAAGGCTGAAGGTGGTGACATGTGAGACTGGGCTCATGAGACTCCTTGCTGTCATGTGGCATGGCTAGGCCCCTAAAGAGCAAACATCTGGTTGGATTGGGTGCTTGGCCAGTTGCTAGGGTGGAACAGATACTGGAGACACAGGTGCAGGAGCACATGGCAAAGGGAGAGTCAAGAGGACAGGCAAGACACAGGGAAGGAAGACTGACCAGCATCTCAGGGAGGACAGGCCACAGGGACAGCGAGGGGAAAGGAGGGCTCCAGAAGGGACCATGGACAGATAAAGTTGTGTCCATGAGTCAACGTGCCTGGGTACTGAGTTGTGCCACCATTCTCACTAGTAGAGGGAGACGGCTACATCTGGTCACCCTGTGTTCCCTGTGACCATCTCCAACCCTGACACACAGCAGGTGCCCATAAATGCTGAGTACTGAATGGACAGAAGGAGAAGAGGTATGAGAGGGCATAGTGTGACTTGCAACAGGTGAGCCGTGGGAGGAGATCACCTTGGCTGCCACTAGACATTGCTGATGTGACTGTCAAATAGTAGGTGTCACCTAGTATAGCCTGTTCCACAGCCTTCTCCTTCACTCCCCAGGTGAGAGGCTAACAGTCACTCAAGCAGAAGAACAATGCCAAGGGGAGACACTGATGAGCCATTGGGGGTAACCTTGATCCCTGCCTGGAAGCTCCTTGTGCATGTGCCTGGTAGACAGAAACTGCAAGTTACCATGGGTGGTCCCCAGGTCACCTCTGACAGAGACTCCATCAGACTGGCTCCTTGAGAAGGGAATGGGAAGACAAAGGTCAGCCCCACAGAGCTCCACAGCCTGCCAATGGGGCAGCCTGGACACTATTACCAACAGTATCCATGACTTCAGGTCTGGTGGACTCAAGATTACAGGCTGTCCCTTAGCCAATGGAAAATGGAAGCAAAAAACTTGTGTCTAAGAGTCAGTGACAAAGCAGATAGGAGGACTGTCCAGAATCCACACACAGGCCTGGTCCTTCTCGAGGTCAAGAGTGAGGGATCAGGGGTCAGGCTAATGTTGTTTGAACCCAAAGAAATAAAAGACCTAAGAAGCTAGCATCAGGCAGCTCTGGTCCTCAGGAAGCCCATGCAGACGTCCAGGTGATAGGGCAAATCTCATGCCAGGTCAGGACCTGGTTCAGAGTAGGTGGCAATGAGCATCTCTTGAGTTAATGCCTTCCTAAGTGAATTCTTAAGCTGAACGGTTTATTGTCAGTGTCTCTGCCTCTGCTGGCCTGTTGCTGCATCTGGACCCTGACTCCCAGACACATCTCGTCTGAATGTAGGAAGCATCTGAGTGTCTCTAGCTCTTAGGGACAGACACTCAGGTGCTCTTCCTGCATTCTGACCCCATTCACAGTGGCCACAGTGGTTCTAAGGACTGGGCTTCTGAACTGCTTGGAAAACTCATCATTGCTGGGAAAGCCCACCCAGACACCCCTGTGCAGGCTTAGCATTTGACTGGACACCTTATTCCCTGAACTCTGTTCCATTCTTGAACCCATCCATCAGCCCCCCAAGAACCCTGTTACTAAGACCATGGAAAGAGGAACCAGAAAGGTGTGCCTAGTTATAAACTCAAGCAATGAAGTCTTTGCTGGGCCCTATTCCCCACCCCCTGCATTGTGCCAGGGGCCCATCTGGTGAGGTGACAGGGAAAGAGGCCACAGGTTCTGCCTCACATAGTGTGAATGAGGGGCTCTGGTAGGAAAAGGCAGAGCACAGAAGGCCTGCAAAGCTCGGGGACATGCTGGCATACTCACGCTTCCTGGAGCCTGGCTGCAGTACGTCCACACGATAGACAGAGAGCCGATCCCCAGCCCCGCATGCTGTGCCTTTCTCCCCCTTGCACTCCTGGTTGCACTCCTCCAGGCTGGTGCGAGTGGCTGGCAACCGATTCCCGCAGTAGCACTCCGCACCAGCCTCCAAGCCAGCGTAGACATAGGACCTGCAGAACACCAAGTTTGGCTGAGTCCTAGAGCTAGGTCTGTGGACTGGCTGCATAAAGGACCATATCAGGCAATTGCAGCTGGATCTTGGGCCAGGAGAAGGGTTGAACTCAAAACTGGGGTTCAGACTGGGTGAGGAGGCAGTGGCTGTAGCCATCAGTATATGGCTGGCCTAAGGGATCAGTCTCCACTCAGAATTATAGGTCACATAACAAAGTTTAGGGAACAGCTTTTTCTCTGTAGTCTGGTCTCATTGGTTGTCTCATCAGGCCCGAGCTTTGCCCCCAAAGTGCCTTGCACAGCACAGAGTTACCATGGGGCTTAATCAGTGGTGTATTGGGAACCTGGTTCTCAGTAAGGGACAGAGAGAGCATTGATACATAGTGCTTGCCGTGCTGTGGTGTAAACACCCTCAGCTGCAGAAGATGTCAAGCAACCGATGGCCTGAAGCGTCTGTTACTCATCACTACGTTAGGCATGGGCCTACTGCATGTCCCTACTGCCACAGCCATTTCTTCTCCTCCTTTTCCCTAGTTGTAACCAAAGCTGTAGGAAAAGGAAGACTGGAAACAGAATCTGTGATGTATCACATAGGATCACAATTACAGAAAGTGGCCAAACTTCCTCCTCAATGGACCCCAGTGTAAAAGCCGAGATTGACAACCCCACAAAGCATCTGGTCCCCATTTGGCCAGGTACAAGCCATGAGACGCTGAATGTCACTTGCCACCTCAGTCTCAGTTTTCTTTAACTGTTAGGAGACTAAAGGGAGATTGTGGCATCCAAAACATGCGTGAGTAGCACCTTGTCCTTTCTTTCTCCAGCCTCAGTTTCTCCATCTATAAAATGGGGAAATTAATTGCTACCTAGTAGAAGTTGTTGGGTTTTTACATGTGAAAGACTCTAAGGCAATACAAGTAGATGAGTAGTGCTGCCTGCCCCCACTGTTTCACCTGTCTTCCGCATGTGCACATGTGCACACACAGTGGACTTGAAGGCCTGATTGGTAGGGACCATTTTTTGGCACACTACAAAGGTCTGGTAAACACTAGGTAAGCTGGCCATATTAGAAAAAGCAAACCTTGTTACAGACACAAGCTAGAAAAACTTTTCATAATAGAGCTGGACAGATATAGAGAAATCCAGGTTAAAGCCTTTATTTTAAACAGATACATAAACTGAGGCCCAGGAAGGAAGAACTTACCAAAGGCACATGGTGAACACCTGTTAGAATGGGATTGAAGATTAGGTCTCCTGACGCCTGCCTAGTGCCCAAGCCATCTGCTGATGAACTTTCTTCTGGAGGCCAGGGACCTGACCAACTGAGATCTAATGTCCATGACAGCCACCTGGCAGCCAAGACCTCATTTTCAGGGATGACAACAGCGCAGGCCCAGCACTCACCGCTCAGCACAGGCGTCCTGGCAGTGGGACACAGTCATCTTTCTCAAGTCATAAAACACTGCCCCCTTCAGAGTTCTCTCCTGGCCTTCATCACTGAAGCAGCCGAGGTAAGTGTCTGTGGGAGGGAATCACGGCTGAAGTCAGAGGCAGAGGGAGGGGTCCAGACCCTGGGCCCCCCACAAGGACCAGGAATCACCAGCTCTTCCTGGCCCAGGCACCTCTTGAGGAAACAGAGGAATGAGAGCTGCCGTCCAACTTCCCCTCAGCATGGGAGCCAAGTGGGCATGTCTTGGTTATTTCCTGCCTCTTTCTTAGTTAATGGATGACCCCTGTCCACTCGGAAAGCCCAGCCAGGAGCCTGGCACCAGCCTGAGAACTGCTTTCCTCCACACGCCCAGCTCCCTAAGCTTGGATCTGGTTTTTATTCATTACTATTAGGGGTACAGTAATTGAATACATGTGTACAATGTGCAATGATCAATTTGGGAGGGTTAGCTTTTCCATTAACATTTAAAAAAATCTTTTATTTACACGTGACAATTGGATAGTTTAATGACTTCTTGTGGGCCCCACCCCGCACCCTCATCTCCACCCTTCCTAGACTCAGAGAGGCCCCTCGGTCTCCATGAAGAGAGAGAAAGTTCTTTATCTAGAGAGAAAGTTCTGCTGCCTCCACTGAGTCAGAGACAAGACAGTGGCCAGGGAAAGCTGGAAGAGCTTTCAAAAGGGAGGAGCTATTTAAAAACAAATCTGCAGTATGTCCTTGGAGTGTGTAAGCACAGTCTATCAGAGTGCAACACAAGTGTCCTGTGTGGGAATCAATGGGACCAAGTGACCGCAGAGCCTTCTTCAGTCACCTGTGCCTCATACAGGCACATCCCTGGATGGTAACACTGAGGGCCCAGTCCACAAGGCAGTGGCAGTATTGACCCACCATGTATGTGCCAGCCCTGCCCTGTCCCCTTGAGGGAAGGAGATTCTTCACTGAGAAGCTCAGAGAACTTGAGTACAATGCAAACACCACACCGGGCATGAAAATGTCACATGTTTTGTAAATGTGTTTTGAAGGAATGGCACACTGAGAATTTGCAAACATGCCATCTATGTTCCCCAAGCTGTGAATGCACACCCACAATTGCTGTGTGGGGATCTGGATGGGGCACCTGTGATAAAGCTGCTGTACATCAACCTGAGAAATGTCTGCACTCAGCTGCTCAGTGCTTCAGAAATGCCACCTGTAGTGCTCGTGGCACTACTGGAGAAAGTGAGCTAGCTGTCTCTGGCAGTGTCATGCTCAGTGTTCAGGCAGCCTGTGAGACTATGCTTCTTACCATCTAGGGCCCAAGAGGCCCAAAGACTCTCAGCTTGGAGGACAGTAAGGCTGAGGAAGGGGTAAACAGCCACCTCCTTTCTGAGGTCACCTGCACAGAGGGATGACCATCAGCACACATGGCTACGCCTGGCATGCTGTCCACAGGCACCTGCTGCTCCCCCAGCTCTGCCCACTGGGGAATGTTTCCCTGCCATACTGGCCTATAAGCTTCTTTCTCCTATGAGCCTCAGGACTACTGCATCCAGCTTGCACTGCTGTAGAAGGTTTATGCCCCCAGTGCAGTGGGCATGCATTGCTCTCCTTTGCCTGCCAACATGATAAAGGAAAACTAGCATTTGAGAAATTTCTGATGTGTCGCTCAGCAAAGAGGAAAGTCTGAAAGTCCATTTCAGCTTTCAGTTAAACACCCAGGCAAAAGAGCAGGCAGGGATTGTTAAACATTTATCACCATAAGTGGGAAGTTAACCACGAAGCTCCATAGGTGACCAGGCTCCAGACTTTCCAACCCTGAGATGGGCACATACACATTTCTGAACAAATGGACAAAAACAGCCTTTGGGAATGAGTTGACTTGGGTCAAATTCTGGCTCCACCACCACCGTGAGGCGTGGCCTGTGATGAGCCTCAGCTTTTCCACCTGTAAAATGGAGACACAGCACAGTGCTAAATCCACAGGCTGTTTGTGAGGCATCCATAAGACAACATGTACCAAGTGTCTACTGCAAGGCTTGGCACAGCAAGTGCTCACCAGTGATAATTTTTATTGTTAATAGCTCATTATTAATAATGACAATTTCTAAATGACTTTACTTCCTAGAAACTCAAATTCTTCATCATTAAAATGGCAAGAGCACTGCTTACATCAGAAGGCTGTTTGAAGATTAAATTAAATGAGATGACAGATGTACATCTATACAAAACAATGCCTGCTACATAGCAGATGTTCAAATAAGTAACAGCTATTATTATTCTGATCCCACACTCTAACCTGGGACCTAGTGTGAGGATGGATCAGTAAATATTAGCTGAATAATTAGCACATTAATGAAAGAGACAAAAACAATGGTTTCAAGCAGGCAGGCTTGAGTTCTTTTCAAAGCAAGGAGTGGCTAGCAGTTAGCAGCTGGCTGCTATGGACTGACCAGGGTGGAGAGGAAGCCTGCTGGGCTGGCCTGGGCTGGTCCTGTCTCTGGGTGCAGCCAGGGCCTGAGACAAAGGTGGTTCCTCTGGCTTGTGAGGAGCAGATGAGCCCTTTTATCCTGAAACATAACAAATGGCTTTTCTAACTCACTAGCAGAGGGGAGAATGTGCAGAAAAGAAAGACCTTTCCAGGGATACGCTGGGACACATCCCAAGGCGGATTTATTACTTTCGGCTGGAATGGAGGCAATGTATTATTGTCTGACTCCGCATCTGTTCATTTGCACATCAAAGTGGACAAGCCGTGAGGCTATTAACGATGGCTTTGGAGATATTGGAATGTCTTTGGAAATTACTATCAATAAAAAACAAACTGGCTATGGAGAAGTTACTATTTTTCCCCTAGTAAACTTACTGACATTTTATTCCGTTATGGATGCTGTCCAAGGTATAATGAAATGCTGGGTGATTGATGGAGCCTCCCGCAGCTTCCGAGGCTTGGAGGATCCCCTTTCAGGAGGATGGCGGGCTGCCCAGGCCGCAAAGAGATGCTTGCTTTGTCTGTGGTCCCAGCAGCTGGCCTGAGGGCTGCACCATGGCCACTCTCCACAGTGAGGCCTGCCTGGCTGTGCGGGACCATGGAGCCCCAGGAGGGGAATGAGAAGGGGAAGGGGGCTTTCAGGCCAGTGTCCTGAAGACCTCCAACCATGCTACAACTCAGCTTCCACTAGAAATACCTTCCATGTTCTGCAAAAAGAGTAAATTCCTCCTTAAATCTGGGACAAATTCCAAATGTTTAATAACCTAGGGAAGAAACAAGCATTCAGAATTGGCACCTTTAGGCACTGGAACTGGATCCTGGATGCTCCCTGCTGCTTCAGGAGTTAACCTTTTCTTTGCTGAGAAACAGGGAGAAGCCAAAGTGCAAAGGCCACCCCCCCACAGGCTGGGGGAAAGGAACTGTCAACAGATATGCAAGCTTGATAAAGAGATAATGTTAGAAAATAGCTGGGGATGTCAGTCCTGCCTACATCTAACTACAATCTCTCCAGCTTTTACTGGAGCCCTATCCATCACCACTTTATGCTATAGGAGGTAACTCATTGGTTTTTTTGGATATGCATATACTACTCCTAGGGCCACCATTGGTCACCCAGAGCCCTCTTCTCTGCTGGTCAGTTATAAAGTTTTCTCCTATCTAACAAGTCTTCAAGCCATGTGCCAGATCTCTAACATCCTGCAGCACTGTTGTGTGGGGACTATTTGGGCACACATTTGATCCACCACCAGGGCACAGGGACAAGCACATGTGGAGACTCAATCGGTGGATCCTGAGGGTGGGTGGGGAAGAGTGAAGACAGGAGTCAAGGTCAACCTGCCCAAGGTCACAGAGTCAACAAGTGGCAGTAACCAAGAGAGTAGCCTAGGTCTGTTCTCCAGGCCTGTGTTCTTTACATAGCTTCCTCTCTGGAAACCCATGTTGTTTTCTGTCACTCACTTGCACTTCACTCTAAATAAACTGTGTTAGCAAAGCCTAAAGAGAGATGTCTCTATGCCAGGAGGGGAGCTCGGCTCCTTTCTCTTCCCTAGAATCTTCTCATCATCCTCAGAACAGAGCCAAGGGCTGGGGACGAAGCCCGGTTCTTGTCTACATCCCAAGGTCCTGGGTTCCATCTCCAGCATTGAAATCAATTGGTCAACAGGTGAGGAAGTGTGTCAATATTTTAACCCCTGATGAAATGGCATTGTTTTTGTGCCCTCCCTAGCTCAGGAGTGATGCCCCTTTTGCCTCATCTCTTTCTATATTCTGCCATTCTGTATTCTAGGTAGTATTCTACACAGTCAGGAGAGGACCTTCCCTGGTGACTTCGTGTAGAAGGCTATAAGCGGTAGTGATAGGAATGCTGAGAGCCAACTAAGCTCAGTTACCATAGGACAGCAACTTCAACTTGCTCACCAAGCACCTGGAACATTCATGGGCCTTACATAGAAAGTCTGAAGCACTCAGCACAAAACAGCAGCAGCTCAGCACTAGACTGTCCTTATGAAGGCATCCTGGCAGGGTGACCACAGCTGATCCTGTTGTGTCCCCCGTGTCTCCAGACCTGGCTCCAGCCCCCTCCAGTGGTGACCTGCTTCCTGGCTCTTCCCCTCTGGTCTCACCTCCTCCCTCTGCCAGTGCCATTACACTGCAAATCTCTGTGCATTTAAATCCTGGCTTCAGGGTTTGCCTCTAGAGACCTTCAAACTACAAGAATGACCTTGGTGATTTACTTAACTTCCCCATGCCTCAATTTCTTCACTGCAAAATTGGGGAACAATAATAATAGTGCCTTACGCAGTAGATTTGAAGGTGCATAGTCAATGCTATCTGGGTTAGCAATAACAGCTGCCAGTTAGAGTCTCAAATAATGTACAAGTTCCTCTCTCCTGGTGGTTCTTGGCTAAAGTGTACATCAGGATGACCTGGAGAGTGTATGAAAACAGGGACGGCTGGCCACTACGACAGACTTCCTATCTCGCTAAGTCGGGGAGACTGACACTGCTCTGGTAGCCAGCTCCCATGGGTAGTGCTGCTTCTGCTCTGGAGCCACAGTTGGGAACTGCTGCTCTATGCGGTCACACTCCTCATGGTAATCCAGAAAAGTCAAGTGACACAGCCAAGGTCAATCAACAAGATATGCCTGAGCCCTATTCAAACTGAATAGGTGGAGCTCTAGGTGACCAGCTCACACATCTTGGTCTTGAGCCTTGTGAAATTCCAGCTGGTGAGTGAGCAAATTACTGAAGAATTCCACATCCCAGGTCTTTCCTGTCCTGGACAAAGCAAGGTGTTTAAAGGCTACCAGCCTGTACCTGTACGGCTACTTTCCCAGCTGCCCCACAGCCAGAGAAAGGGGACACCAAACTTGTGATGGTGAACAGGGCTTCTGGGAGTAGCTCCCAAAGATACAGCTGAGCACATACCTTGGTTGCGGGTGGCTGGTCCAGGGGCCTCAGGGCCCAGGGTAGGTGGCCCCTGAGGATCACTGGTGAAGTGGTGGAACCAGCGGCGCCGTAGTGAGCTGCGGTTCCTCCGGGGCCAGCGGAATCCAGGTGGAACCCGAGCCAGGGGGTTCCGTGACAAGTCCACGTCCAGCAGCAGGTCTGGGCTGACACGGGGGTTGTGCAGGGTTCTGCCATCCAGGAGGTCCACACCCAGTGCCACGGTGGCTACTGGCAGGGCCTGCAGGGTGCTGGGCGCACGGGGGCTCTGGGGGAGGACCACTCGGGCCCTCTGCAGGAGCAGCAGGCTGCCAGCCATCAGGTAGGCTGCTGTGAGGAAGAGCAGCAGGAACTGCGTTCTGCGGAGAAACTTCTGGAGTCGGAAGAAAGGTCTGGCCATGCCCCTGGGCGGCAGGGCTCCCGGCTAGAGCCCAGGGACGGCTCCTAGCGTCCAGGCAGGAGGGAAGCTGGGGTCTTCGGAGGCATCATCCTCGCATCCTGGCTCCTGGTGCCTGCCTGTGCTCTTCTGGGCTACGGGTGTGCAAAGGGTACCATTACTTCTCCCCAGCAGCCACAGGACCGGGTGTCCCAATCTTCCCCATCACTACGCTCCCATCATGGAAACCTGGAAAAGTACAGAAAGAACACTTAGATGCAATAGAAGGGTCTGCCACCCCACCTCCATCACTGATTTACCAAAGGGACCACCTGTACTGAAGGAGCTCTGGAGAGGCCTAGGCTCAAATCCCAACTGTGTTACTGGCCAGCTGTGTGACACTGGGAAAGTTGTTTAACCTGTCTGGGCTGCAGCTTCCTTGTCTGTAAAATGGGATGACACCCTGCTCTTGAGTAGTAGTGAAGATCTAGCAATAGCAATAAGCAGGGGGAAGAAAAGCAATAGCAGCTTTGTGCTGAGACCACAGATGTGTCAGGCACTCAACTACTTTCCCTCTCACCAACCCAATGAGGTAGACATTACAATATCCCTACTTTACTGATGAGGAAATTGGCAGGTGGAGGCAAAGTTGACAAACACAAGAGCCAAGATTCTGAAGTCTCTATTCTGATCCTGTCATCTTGGCTACTAGTTGAGACGCCACCGCCTAAAAGTGCACCTGATGTATACAGCAGGTGCTCAATAAATGCAAGCAATGAGCTGACTCCCAGGGATGCAGTGGGGCTTCAGGCTATGATCTGCAAGAAGCTTCTGGGGGGGTTGGCTGTTGACTCTCATAAAGACAGGGGTCCAGTGAGGGAGTGGGCCTCAGGGTGTTTCCTGCCAGGGCCAAAGGAGCCAGTCAGCATCAGAGGCTGGGGCACCTGGTGTTGTGGGGAGGTTTGAGCAGCTTTATGGGGTGCCCTCTGCTCCCCAGGTCTCGGCACTCACTTTGGGCTTTGGTTCCCACTGGCAGTGCCTCTGAAGTGCTCTGTTAGGGTTGGCAAAGGGCTCTGCAGCTGCCTTGGGCAGGACTGCTGTGTGAGGAAGGAGCTGAGCACAAGGACAGGATTGTCCCCGAAGAAAGGCCCCTGAAAGCATGACTAAGCCACAGCCCGTAACTAACATGGCCTGGGACCCCCGCCAGGCCCGCCCAGCTGCTCAATAGCCACTCTGTGCGCGGGGGACAGACGGCTGGGTGTGACAAGAAAGACAATGTTTGGGCTCTGTGGCCAGGCGGCCCCAGAGAGGCTGGAGCCCAGGAGAAGACTCAAAGGGCCCTGGCCAGCCTGTCCCTTCCTGAGGACAGCCACAAATGAAAGTGGAATCAAACTGAGAGGTGAAGCCATTTCAGATAGTCTCAGAACCTTTCTCTTCTCTCTGACCTGGTGTGTCTGCCAGGCCCACCCCAGCCAGCGTCCGATTTGTAAAACCACAGAGAAAATCCCACAAAATCCTGACTGATCTCTCTGCCTCCTGCTTGGGCCCCTCCAATACATCTTCCACATGGCTACCAGGGCGATCCTCCTAACACGCAAATCTGATCACAGCTCTCCCCTGCTTAAACCCCTTTTGATAGCTCTCCTAGACTTCTGGGATAAACTCCAAGCTTCTCAGCGTGACATGCATGGCCCCATTTGTAATCCAGCCTGTCCAGTCCTATCTCTTGCCAGACCATGGGCTTCAGTGTCCCTATGGCACACACACGTGCACACATACATACACACAATGGCCCAACAAAGCTATCCACAACCATAGCATGCTGCCATCCTCCACCCCTGCCTGGTGACATCTACCCACGGGTACAGATTCCTTGGCCCCCCATAGCCTATGCTGACGATTAGCACTGTCTGTGCACTTTTCAATCATCCTCAAAGGACTCTGATCAACTCATGGGTACGAGTGGGTTCCTATTCGTTTTTGTTACTGTGGCCCCCAGTCTGAGGCCTGGCATAGTGGCTGTTCAGTGATCTTTGTTTGAAAACACATTTTCTTAATGAATGAAAGGATAAATGCATAGGAAACTCCTGATAGCAGAAGTCTGTTCCTTTGGGGTCTGAGAGCAGCCAAATCTCAAATTCCACTCATCCAGTGCTGGGGATGAAGGCCGAAATGTGGGAGAGATGCAGCAATGTGGGGCAGCCAGAGGATGCAGTGCTGAGGGACATGCAAGTTACCAAACGTCCTGAACTTGAGATGGCTTCTTTCCTGTGCTGCAATTCCATGGAGCAGGGTTTCCAGGTGTGTCTGCAGAAGGGTTTTAGCTAAGGGAGGCTGGGAACCTATCAGTGCAAAATTCTATAAAGTCACAGATGAGGGGTGGCTTGTCTGCTGTGGAATGTAAGTTTCCGGGAATATGGAACACAAAAATGGATAATGGCCCATGGTTCAGAATTTTGAAGGCAGAGTGTGGTGTGAATTCCATCTGTGTTTCATGGATGGAATTTGCATACATGATACAATAAGACTGGTAGGGTGAGGCGCTGTCAGGACTAAACAGTCAGGATCTGGTCCCACCCAAGTTCCCCAAGATTTTCCAAGTTCTGCCTGGTGCTCCCCCTTCCAAGAGTGGCCTCCTTGTTCTAGGAAGGTGGCTGTTGAGTACTATGAAGTAGATGGCCCCTTACAGGCCAGAGTGCCACAGCCCAGGGGTCCTACAAAGTAGGCTGCCATTTCCAACTCTTAAACCTGCAAAGCTGATTCCCAGGCCAGATCATCTGCTGAGGATGTGCTGGGCTGATCTCTTCCCACTAAATTCATATCTGTCAATCTCCCATAATCTCCGACAGCCTCTCCAGGGCCCAGATCATGCCTGATCTATCTCCATGCCTCCAGATCCCAGTACACGGTAAACACAGTAAAGGTTTATTAAGTGACTGAACCCTAGAGGCTGGGAGTGGGGACTGGGACACTTGGAGTATCTATACAGGGGCTCACAGCCAAGCCAAAGGTAAGTCGGACAGCAAAGCCAGCTGATCCCAGGGCAGGAATCTGGCCACTGCCTGTCTGCACTGGGCCTGTAGGCCATCAGCTGTGCCCACAGAATCCAAAGCCAGCAGGCCATCATTAGAGCAAATCTGCCTTGGGCAAACCATTGTCAGGGCAACGCCTCAGTTCATCTATTGGGCCTTGCTGTGGGATGGAACCAGGGAGTGGCTGTGACCCTGCTGTTATCCACAGACTGTGGCATACACTGATTCTGAATGCAAAAGGGGCAAAAACTATTAGCTGGAGCACAGGCCTGCAGCAGCTGGGTCCCTGGTAAAACCACGCTCTCTTCCTTCCCCTAGATCCCTCTCCCAGGATGGGCCCAGTATCGCCCTATTGCTTCAAGCACCTTGTACTAAAATTGCTGTCAGCAATCACTTTATTTCTCTGTGTCACCATGGCATTAGCAAACAGGTTAGATGGGTGTATACTCCATGGACATAGGTCATTTATTATACACAGCCTGCCAAGGTAGAGGCCCGGCACCTCCCCCTACCCTTACCAGGCATTTGAGAGCTGTGGTCTATCCCTAAACCTTAGCAGGGTGAAGCCTGAAGTCCAAGGTCAATCAGGGCTAGCATTCAGACCCGGGCCACCTGCAACCAAAGTCCATTCTGTGCCACCTAAGCTCCCTATCTCTCCTTGATGCAGCTCTGGCTTTGCATGAGACAAGATTTATTCTTGAAAGGAGTTAGTGTGCCTCTGTCAGCACTTTTGTGGATTCATGCTGGGCCAACTCCTGGAGATGCTACATAAGGGATCTCCTGAGCCAGTCCTCCCAGACATGCTGTGTCTGGGGAATTGTCCCAACCTCCCAGGTCAGGCTGGGAACAAAGCCCCTCCCCTTCTCTGGAAGGCTCCATCATGTCCCTCTGAGGAGCACTGACCAAATGCACCTATCCCAGAACCATGTGAAGTGCTGGGTTGTGGACAGAGGCCTTTTCCTACCCCTGCCCTGTCAGGAGGAGACATTCAGGCTGCACAAAAAGTGCACACCTGCTACCCTGCTCAGTGTGTTTTAGAGACGATGAAGTTACTCTGGAGCAGAGCAGGGCCCGGGGAGGTAGACTCTGAGTATGTCTAGGGAAGGAGGGAAGAATGAAGTCTCAGACAGGGAGCAGGAGCCTGGAGCAGGTGGGCCCCAAAGAGGAGGAAGTGGAAGGCCAGGAGTAGCTACCTGGGGGTGAAAAACTAAGGAGTAGCAGTCAGGGCAGGAGGCGAGGCAACCCCTCCAGCTGACTGGGTCTAGACAGCAGCCACTGGGCTCTGCTCATAGGACTCCATCTCCACCACCTGGCTTAAGAGACAACAGGTGGTAGCAGTGGACAGAATGACCCTAGATGCCCCTAGGGCCGCTGTAGCAAGGGTTGTAAGCCTCTGGGGACTTCAGAACCACTTGCTCTGGGCAGGGCAAGCACCCAAAAGACAGAGAACAGGGCCCAGCAGGCTGTTCTCCAGTCAAGATGGGCACCTGTGTCTCAGGAGCTCAAATTCCCCCGAGTGTCAGTGAGGGAGTCCTGCAGGGTTCCTCACCACCCCTTCCTCCTGTCCCCTCTCCTAACCTCTGCCTCTGCCTGCTCAGACTCAACGCCAGTCATCTGGACTCCATCCCAGTTCCAAGGGGCTGTTTCCTTCCAGCAGCTGAAGAAAGTCATTTTTCTAAGATCAGGAACTAATGTTGGTACAGCCTGCAACAGGTCCCCAGGGCTTGGAGGAACAAATCCAAGCTCCTTAGTGTAGCATTTAGTGGCCTGTTTTGGTCTAGTCCCCCTGACCCTCCTTCAGATGATTCCTTCCAGAACCTGTGTCCCAACCAGTGTCTCTGGCCAGTGTGAGATGCTTCAAGTCCCCTCAACATGCTTTTCTAGCGCCAACGATGGCTGTGCCCCACGTTACAGCTCTGAAATGCTTCCCAGACATCAAGGCTCAGCCCCAATGCCACTTCCTCCGTAAAGCCTCATGACCCCTGGAACAGAACTGCAACCCCAGCAGTGATAGTCAGGCGGCTGCTGCTGTTACATGTGGTTAGCTTGAGTTCTACCTTGAGACAGCCTGCCTGCTAATGGTCCTACTTCCCCTTTCACCCTGAGCCCCTCGCCGGCACAGGGAATACCTCTGCCACCTCTGAGCCTGCAGCCCTCACTCCAGAGTTCTGCAGCCCTGGTCTTGAAGGCTGAGAAAGGGTGCAAGGAACCCACTAAACACAAATCTGGTTGGCCCTTGACAGAGACAGGGTCTGGGATAAAGGAATAGGGTGGGGGGGGTCCCTGTCTTTGAAGAGGCAAAGATTTCTTGATCTTTAGAACTTGAGAATTTAAGAGAAAATTAATATAAAATGTTTCTAAACTGGCATAAAACATAATAGCTAATTAGCTTAAAATGTTACACGGTACATGCAAATCGAACATTAATTTGTACTGCAATAATGTACACAATTACAAATGTCAACCACAAATAATAGTAATAATAATAATAATAATAATAATAATAAGGATCAAAACTCCATTCAATGCAAAGGGGGAAAAATCCTCCCAGCAAATCCACTGCTGAAGTTCATATGAGTAATAAAATTTTACACATACATTAGAGATGGCCAGGCACCTTCACGTGCTATCAAGTGTGTTGACTAAATGAGCAGACAGATGAACAAATGAATGAGTGATCTTCCCACAAATGTACAACATTACTATATTATGAACCATTAGCCCCATCACAGTGATGCAGAATGAGACCAAGAAAAGACCCACTGACTTGAACAAAGACAATGAGCTAATCACCCCTGACTGCATGACCTTCATTCCTCAGATGGGGGTCCTCCTAAATATCATGCTCAGGCTGGAGCTGCAGAGATAGGGCACCTGGGAGGGCAGGGGCTGGCATTTTCCCTTTTGAGTTAGTTGATCCAGGGCCCATTCCATTCTTGACCCAGCCAATCACAACCTCTTCTAGGCTCAATGGACTACCTTCTGTCATTTGTTCTCGTTTCTTCCACCGGGTGGTAGCTCCAAGGGCTATCTTGGGCCTGGCTCAGAGTGTAACAGGAACAGGTGTTCAAACTCCTTTGAGGGATTTTGTTAAGTCTGAGCAAGTCACCCTTGTTCTTCTTTGGATAGATGTCCAACAAGGAGAGGGACTCATGCTATGGGAGGGGACCCAAGACACCCTGGGCATTCTTGTCCTCAGAACCCTCAAAGTCCCCTCATGCCAAGGCAGCTACCCTCTTGGGAGGGGCTCATATCCCCAGGGGTCTCCTGCAGCTAGGGAAGGGAATCCAAGTAGAGGGTGGGGCTTACCATTTATCAGGAGGTGCACCTCATTGTACAGCTTACAAAATTAATCAAGCTGTTCTTCCATCCACTTCTCCTGTCCACACTGGTAGGCGGTACACATGCAGAGCTCCTCCCTGCCTGAAACCCCTGAAGTGGCATACTTGGGACAATTTTTCAGGCCATAGTTCAACATGGTGATTATTGAAGCCAAGGTGAGGCAAGATTACTGGAAGCAGTAAGAGAGCAAGACTATGAGGCCCAGGGAGAAGGTAGTGGAAGGACATGGTCCCTCACTCATTCCCCAAATGAGCAGGGCTGGCCCAGCCTGGCCCCAGATGTTAGGACCCAGCTCAACTTCTGATACTGTGGATGACTTTTACTCACATCTCACAGATAAAGACAGGTCTGAAGTCTTAGTTGTCCTGAAGTCCTTGGTCTTGACCTCACTGAAGCTCAGAGTGAAGATGGGGAGCCAGTCAGATGGGAGTGTTAGCTCCAAGGCTCACTGTTTCACTTTGCAGTGCTCAGGCCGGGACTCAGGTTTAGCAATAGGCCAATTGGTGATCCACACAGGAGAAAGGACAGGCATCCCATTTTCCGCCTATCCAGGCTGCTCTCCACATCTGACCAGACAAGCTGCAAGCCACAGGACAGCACCACCTAGGGCTCAGTGCCCACTGAAAAGAAGGATTCCCTCACCCCAAAATACAGTTCTTCCAGAGAAGCTGTGGGAACTGTCCTGTGAGGTCTGGGGCTATAGGTGAACACCAGGTGGCTTCCTATGGAGATGAGGCAGCCCCATAACTGGCTGAGCTGTCTTCAGTCACTGTACAGAGGGAAGATCCTCACCAGAACTCCCAGGTCTTGCAGTTACCCCCTCCCCATCTTCTCATGGGATTTGTGAGGGCCAAGCTAAGTGTGAGGGTCATGCTTGGGGAAAATGAACCTGTTCCACCTCCAAGGAAGACCCCCACTACTGTCCTGGCCCCAGCCTTGCAGCCATCAAGTAGGGGTGCTACAGACAGCAGGGAGACCCTGCTTGAGGTCTCCTGTAGCTCTTTCACTCCTTACTTCCTGTGCCTGGTAACCTAGTAATTCAGAGAGAGGAAAGAAAAGCCCCCCACTCTCCATTCCAACCTCGGGTCCCAACACAGGAAGGCCTGGGTGCCTCCTTAAACAGAGGCACGCTATTCCAGCTAAGCGAGAGATGAGGGCACCTGACGTGACAAAAAGTACAGTGACATCCCGAATCTTCCCATCTACAGAGCAGCCTGGGAGGGTGAGTGTGTCCAGAGGCTGGGCCCCAGGGAAGGGGTGTGGGGCTGGAAGCAGCCCTTCTACGGATCAGCAGAGGGGACAGAGGTCCCCCTCCTGGCCCTAATGCCCCACTGGCAAGCCAGCAGGAGCAGATACCATTCCTGGAGCATGACACTCAAGATTGCAGTCAGCCAGGTTACCCTGAAACAGGGGATCCAGCCAGGGAGCTCCTAAGTATCAAAGAAAAACGCAATGAACAGCGTTCAGTGGTGAGTCTCGGTCCGCACCTAGGAAGATGCGAAGCTGCACACAGGGTAATATTCTGAACAAAATACATTTTTCTATTTTGCCTCTGCCTCTGTTCAAGTTCACCAAGAGACAGGAGAAAACCCTCCGCTGACCGGAAGCCTGGCTTGGTAGCAGAACGAGAGAGGGAGCTGCTTCTGGTGAACGTCTCAGCCAAGGAGGAAGGCAGTGCGCACCCCAAATTCTGCACTCGCCCCCTCTCCGGACCCCGAACCTGTAGCCCGGACCCGGCGGGGAAGAAGACTCGCGCAACCGCCTCGCGCACCCGCGCCGGGCGCGGTGGTTGAGAAGCGCTCCCCCACCCCACGCACACGCTCACACTCCGCTGCCCCGGCCGAGCTCCCGGTCCCCCGGAAGGCGCCCCCCGCCAGTGCACCCCGAAGCCGAAGCAGGTGCAGCCCCGCCGCGCTCCCAGCGCGTCTACACAAACTTGTTCGCTTGCGCAAGGGTCCCGGCCGGGGCACCCGCCTCCCCGGAGACAGGACTCACCCCGCGATCGCGGTCGGCTGGGGCGCCCGCACCTGCGGCCACGCGCCCGCCTCCCGGGCGCCGAGCCCGCAGCCCCGCAGTGTCCGGAGCCGAGTCGCCCCTGGCGCCCGCAAGCCCCCGGGCCTGCGACGAGTGACCCACGCACCGGGGCCGGCGCCGCCGCCCAGCTCCCTGTGGCTGCGGTCGTCCGGGCTAAGCCGCGGCGGCGGAGCGTGCGGGCGCCTAGCCGGGCGGCTGGCGTGGGGCGGGCAGCGGGCGCGAGGCGGGCGGCGGGCACCCGGTCTGCACATGCTCACTCGCGCGGCCCGGGGACAGCGGCCGGCCGCCTCCGGGTCCTAGAGGCGCCGGCGCGCACGCCTGCTGCTCAGCTCTAGGGAGGGGTCGCGGCTTCGCTGGCTGGGGCCCACACTCTGCCCCAGCCCGCGAGACACGCACACGCGGAGAGCCACACGCGCCATTGCCCAGCGCAGAGGTTGACACTCGCTCTGACAACACACACACGTACACTCACCGACAGCCTTGCCTAGGAGCCTCACATCAAGGCGCTGGGGGGCTTACACACACACAAACGCACTGGGCGCTGCCACACAGGAGCACACCGCCACACACACTCAGATGCAGACACAGCGACAGACGCACACTGTCTGATACAAATACACACTGATTCACCAGATACCCACACTCACACAGCTCCTTGGGTTCGGCCCCACTCACTCAGAAACAAGCTAGGACACTGTGATAGGCACACACACACACACACACAC